GCAGAGGGTGCATGGAAGAAAACATTGTTTAACAGCCAAACGTATGAGAGGATTGAGGTGCTTGGACATGGAGTGGTTTTGCTGTTTCATGCAGAAAATGCTGATGGGGACATTATGACCAAGCTCACATAAAAAGTAAGGCACTTAGGAAAAAAAAATTAATAAATTGCTTCTCCACTACTTCAGTTCCTTAAGCCAACACCAGATGTTTTTGCCTTAGTCAAATGCAAGTTACTGATCTCAGCCTTCCGGTAAATGGATTAAGTATTATGGTCTGTGACACAAAGAAACTGAGACTAGAAAATCTCCTTTGGACTGAAATCTGCAGAATAAGAATTATTTAGCAACATTATTGATCCAATAAGTGTAAACAAAGACTAATACAAGCATGTTCCTGAGCAGCCACCAACTTAAGGATAAATTCATCATTTCCTGTTTGCTATTCAGACATTAGAAATAATAACAAGAAGGGGTGATGTTTTAGCTGTGGGGTGCCTTACTTCTGGAGCTATCTCAGTGAATACAGTGGGTAACAAAGGCAGATCGGGGCATTATAGGGATAGCCCGTTGTTGCTGTGTCTCAGCTGGCTGCCGCCATAGAGACACTTTTCAGAAGTAGACTGGTCTCCAGCAGAAACAATGTCTGATTGATATGTTCAAAAGTAAATACAAAGGGTTTTTCCTTTCACCATCAAATGCCTGCTGAACTGCTCAGTGCTCGGTTAGTCTGCTGCTACTTGTCTCTGGTTTTTTCCTTTTGGGGAAAATTTTGTGAAGGTTGGCTCGACTAGCAGCTGAAAAATGCCACAGTAGAGTGAGGAGCAAGTCAGCCTGATGCAGCTGCGCCTTACTTTATTGAAAATGTGGACTCCTGAAATTCCAAAGCATGGAAACAGAATGGGATTTCTGGTGTATTTAGAGCTGCTGTGTCTTGGGGGCTGTATCTATTCCCTCATCCCAAAGGTACATGTTTGAATAGTGCGATTCATCCTATGTAACTTTATACATACAAATCAAAAACATCCTCATGGTACGGAGGCATCTAGAGTCACATATATAGGTATTTGCAGATGAGATGAATCTTCCTGTATTCCATCAACTGTAGAGGGAGAGTGGCTGGCTAATACCTAGCTGTGTACAGTACAGGTTTCAAGGTTTTGTCTGATCATCTTCACCCTTCCTGTTGCCAGTGGTTAAGCAGCAATATGAGTTGAGCACTGAGGATTTTCTTGTTTTCACATGTACTTTCAGGCCACTAATGAAACTGCTGCCTATGAGTCATTGTAACCGTCATCTCACAGGTGGATTTCAGCAATGCATTTCTAACAAAGAAATTAACTGCTAAACGCTTGCAAATATGAAGCAACACTGTTTGTCTCTTGTAAGATTGGGATGATTATAAAGCACTTCAAAGGACATCTCAGGTGCCAGTTGGGAGTGTTAACATCACGTGTTGAAGCAGGGCAGATCTGAAAGACACCATGGATCAGAAGTGGGAGTATTTGCTGTAGCTTGACAGCTCTAGACTTAGTCTGGCATCCATGATGTGATGGTTGAGAATCGCATCCACTTTGCAAGTCTCAATTTTGTATTTGTGAAATAGGAAGCAGCCTTTTCCTTTCAGTTAAGTGCTTTGATTTTGTAAGTGAGAAATGTTAAACAAACAGATTGAAACCACTGCAGCCATGGCAATATTTTCTTTTAACTTCAGGGAGATTTGGCTTATGGCCTGTACCATATTGTATTGTACTGGCTCCATTAGAAAAAGCATAATGAATGAAAAGGTCACAGCTCCTTAATTTAAAACAGGTAAAAGGATAAAATGTGTGTGGTGGGGTTCCACTGTAACTGCCCCGAGCATTTGCCATTGAGTACCAATGGGAACTCTCCATCCAGGCAGCTCACTAATCTCCTTTTAATCTCATTGAGTTCTGAACATTTTCTGGAAAACATTTTTCAGAACTAATGTGCCTGGGCAGGGCGGGGAAATGTGAAACCACACAAAAATGTGCACAACAGGAAATAATGTTCGAAAGCTGTGAAAATCATTTATCCTTTTGAAGCGTAATGGGTTTTAATTTTCTCATGCCCTGATCTCCCTGGCAACAATTTAAAAGTACATAAGCATTCATGAATCAAAGCTCTTCACGTCTGCATTTTTAATTATGTGTCATTGGATTGAAACTTTCCCTTTGATCTTTGCATTTAAAGGGATTTACAATTTAATGATTACAATCCCCATCCCTGCAATGTCTGTGCTTGTTACTGAGCAATGTCACAAAGGGGTCACTGTTGGACAGGGGAAGGCAGTTCTGTTCAGGGTAAGTGTGTCTGAAATCTGCCTTATGCTCTGACTCATGGAGGAGATGCCTGTGTGATCTTGGGGCTTCCCAGTGGTGGTGACTCTAGGCCTTTTGCTCTAGGCAAGACACTGAAAAACAAAGTGAGATAAAATAGAGAACAACAATAACCTGGTTTTCCATTAAGCAGACCTGTGCTTTAGGCAGCTGTGTCTCTTGCCCTGTGTAATGACTTTAAAGCCACATAGTGTGGGCACCATGACAAATGGAGGTGGGAATACTGCTAGCTACCTGCTGTGAGGGCCATCAGAAGTAGTTGATGGCTTTGAGGTGAATGGAACACTCTGTTCCTGCCAGCAGAAATAGTGCTAACAGAAGAACTTGAACACTTTGATTCAAGCTGGGGAAAGCACACACCTAGTTCAGTGTGCCTGATCAGGAGAAGGAGATTCAAGGAGGCTGTTCTCAGCAGGGCAAAAGGAAAGTCTCGTGGTTAAAGCACAAGTTGAGAGTAGGGGTGTCAGACTGCCTTGGGGAGAAGGGGGCTGCTGATAGGAAGATTATGATGAGAGTCTGGAGTGGGGAACAAGTGAGGAGGCCTGGGGATGGTGACAGTTGTGATGAGTTTTCTGTGTAATACAGGGCTGCAGAGCGCCAAGGAGATACCGTAGCTGTGAATGCCCCATAGGTGGGTGACCTTGCTGTTGTCTGACTTCTCCATTCTCATGAGACTCATAAATACCCAACTACATCCTGAGCGTGTATGGCAGGGTAACCTCTTTGCCACCAATGAGACTTGTCCCGCTCACCACTGGTGTTAAGAGATATCAACAGCTTCCCATTAAATGTGTGTGTGACTTGATGCAATGCGCAGCACATCCAAGGTATTCTAATGAATCCTTCTTTCAGAGCTTTTTGCTAGATGTTTAATTTTCATGTTGAATAACAGTTTAAAGGTCATGTGGGTTGGTAGCATGTGCAAAATGAATGAACGTTACTTCTGATGTGCCAGTGCAAAATGAAGGCCTTGTGCAGACTTCTTTAGATGCACACTGCTCTTGTATTTTCTTGTAAAAAAAAAAAATCAATAAAAAGTATTAAACTAAAAACCCTGAATAGAATATTTTATGTCTTATTAAGCTACTTATGGGTTCAGCTGGGATAGCAAGGGTCCTATTAATCAATGCTTTAAGTTGACTCCATGGTGAGTTGATGAGTTGAAAAATTTGTTGAGATCCCTTTTTTCCTTCTCTTTAGAGGGTCTTAATGTGGTAGATCTTGTGAAGCGAGCATACATTTGTGCCATTAGCGATAAGTTAACATTGCATGATTTAACATTAGAAACATCATTTATTGAGCTTATGCTTAAAAGGAAATACCAGGTGCATTCACTACAATGTGCTCTTTGATGATCCAATTTTACAATCATTTTCTGAGATTAAGAAATTCATGGTTCCAACTATTGACAGCTGCTGTTAAGTTACTCCAGATGGGGTTACACTAGAGGTAGACTACTCATCCGCGTAAAGGCTACAGGAGAAGATCATAACAACTTGAATTGTGTTACTTGGGAAAAAGTCATGCTTTTTAGAGCAGAGGTACCATCTGTAGTCTATAGAGAAGTGCTGTAGATCAAGGATAACCATGAAGCAAACTTTGGGGATTGGTAGTGATAGGAAGCAGGTGAGAACAGGGGAGGCAGAGAACTTGCAGGAAAGGAGAGAACTTAGGGCAGTCTTGCTTGCTTTGCATGGTGTTTCAGGTTGCTTTTTTTTGACTGAAGATACTCAGAAGGTAAGAGAGTAGCAGGAGCAGCGGTTGAGTTTTTGAAGCAGCAGCAATCTGTAGACTGTTTCTGCCCATAAGATAATTAGTGCCACAGTATAATTAGAGAAGAAAGAACAAAAGGAAGTGAAGTATCTCTGAGGGCTTCAGTTTAATTTGCAAAGAAATCTGGGTGAGCATCTAAATATAAATACACTCTTAAAACATTATAGGTTGATAACCAGATTTTAAAGAGCACATATCATCAGTGCGTAAGGGTAGAAACACCAGTTCTATACATCCATACCTTTAAAAAATATTTTCTTTAGATTGAATATATTTTTATTGAAATACCTTTTATTTAAATACTCCTATTCAACTATAACTCAGTTCTGTATCCTGAATAGGGAACTGGATGTTAGTTAAGCAGTAGCTGGGTAAGATTAGTCATTTGCAGTTCAGCTCCTCCTCCAAGCCCTGTCCCCTGCAGTAGCTGGTACATGGTGGTGATTGTGCAGTGCAGGAATCTCCTTCCATCACTTGTGTGTTTGTATTCCTGGGCACAGCTGCTAGCAGAAAAGGTGGATCTTGTTTTGAGGCTGGAAGAGGTGCTTCCGACCTGACTGATTTGCTCACTTGCTGCACTGTCTGCAGTCTGTCACTCCAGTTGTCTTCTGTGGCACATAGGAAATAAGTTGTTTGGAAAACTTCACTAAATCTGGTCCTAAAGGCAGGACTGTCTTTGTTGGCAGTGTCAGTAGATGGATTAAGAAAGCAATGAACTTGGTGCCCTCGTTTTCCTTTTGCTTACAGAAGTGTTTTTTAGCATAGCTGGTACAATGTGCCATCAACAACCTGTTGTAAACAGGTTTCTGACACTGTCTTCTCTGAGTTGCTTTGTCCTTTGGTATATTAATATGGTATCTTCTTCTCCAGGTTGAACACATAAAACACACCATGAGAAAGCTCGAAGCTGACATACGGAAGGCTTGGAGCATCTTGCATCTCTGACTGTGCTGAACTTCCTCCTGCCAGGATTCCTCTGAAACTCTTGGGAAGTCCAGGTAAGCCATGATGGTGGCTCTGTAATACTTTTCTTTCCCACCTCTGCCTTATGAGCTTCCCTGTTCACTGCCTTCTGCTTGTCTTAGCCTTCTGTTGTATTTTTTATGTAAAGTTATGGACTGTAGGGGACATTCAGTACCTCATTTTCTGCACAGCTCCTATGAGAAAGATCCTCCATTCTTGACAGGAATACGAAGAATGCTTACAGCTGGCTAAAACGAAATCAATTCTAATAAAAAAATAATAAAGAAAGAATGCACGTGCTGGAAATCAGTCATATAAAATAGCAGTTAAAAATAATTAGCACTTTTTGGGAAAGCATTAAATGGATGTGCAGTTATTGCAAAATTAAAAAACCATTAGATTAATTGCAAGAAAAACTGCTTAGCTCAGGGCTATGGTAGTTGTGGCTGGGGTGATGGCACATCAGAGCATCAGCCATCAACTTTAAACAAGGATTCAGGGTCCGCTATTACGCAAAGGCAACAAAAAAGCCCACTGCTGCACTAGAGCCAGTGAAACAACAAACCAAATGGGATTCAGGTGCAGACTTGGATGCAGTCCTGAAGTGATGGTGAGAAAGCAGCACACCACCACAGGACACATGCTGAGAGAGTGAGTAACACTTCCACCCTGAGTACAGTACATCTGAGTTTATGGGGCCATATTTTGTTTTTCTGCCTAGATTTGAAGGTTTAGAACAATTACTCAGGCTCCTGAATGTCAGTTTGGAGGAATACCTTGGGTTGCCAGATGTCTGGAAACCCCAGATGTGTTCCCTGAACGAATCAGCTCTACAGAACATGTGCAATGAATCCATGGCTACCAAAGCCACACTGAACTCATTATGGCTGTGCTCTATAATGCCAGTCACACAGACCTGGTTGGGAAGTCCTGATCACAAAAATAGCGTCTCCCTGCTCCCTTCTCTTTCCTTGTAAACGTGTGACAAGCAGATGGGCAGATAGCTCTGCTGCTGGTGACTTTAGTGGGCTTGATGGAGGGTTATAGTCATCTGAAGATACACGTTTCTGAACGAGTATAGTAGCATCACTGGAGCCCTCTGTGGAGAGTGCTCAGATCTCATCTTATCTAAGGTTTCCACTAGTGGAAGTCAAACATCAGGCTCCAGCCCTGGGTGATGACTTAGATTGATGAAAGAAAATTAAAACTTTTAACTCCCTGCCCTAGAGGGAGAACATAATGATCCAGTCCAATCCCACTCACCTCTTTGAAATTATTGTTATCTTTTTAAAGGAAGTCAATGATTCATGAGATGTTTAGTGGGCAAAACCCTCTCAAGCACTGGGCTGGCTGGGTTATAAATGATCTGTACACAAGCAGGTATTTTTCTGGCAATTCATATGCTGTCTACCTATGACTAGGGCTTCTTTCTGCAAGCTGCAGAGCATAAAGACATAAAAATGATTTGCTGTGCTTGGGTATAGCTTAGGCAATGGTAATTACTGCAGGGAAAGGTACTCCACTTTATCAGTGGGCTGATGCACAGTTCATTTGAGGTTTCCTCCTTTGCTCCAGTATGAAGGAGGGAAAACAGAGGAAATAAAACTGGCCATGAGGAAAAACGCACAAACTCATTACTGAAAATGCTGTGCACTGTGAGTTGCACAAATACAGAAAGACAGAGGGGAGAAAACCCCAGTACAACAGGATACAGAAAGGACAATGGTAAATGATCCATTCCCGGCAGCGTTCAAGGCCAGGTTGGGCGGAGCCTTGGGTGACATGGTCTAGAGTGGCAAGTCTCTGCCCATGCCCATACCATTTTATGATTCTATCCCTGTCTCTGACCTGGAAATGCTTTATTAAGAACAGAAAACAAGGAGCAGCAGGATAACGGAGAGGCAGGCTCTGCAAAAAAACAATGCAACATTATAATCAGTATTACAGGTTTATTTAGTTACAAGTAGCTTTGAGATACAAACCAATTCACTCTAGAACAAGTAAAAAAGCAATGTGCAAAGTGAAAGCACCTTTCCAGGAGAAGCAGAAGGTGGGATAATGTTTAGTTTTAAGGGTGACTCGGTGGGTTTAGTTTTGTGTTCTGGTAGGTAATTGGGATTGCAGCATGACCTTAGGCTTTTAACGTGCATCGTGTGAAGAAGGGAGAGACTCAGAAGGCTGTTGGATTTTTCTGCTGGTCAGTAAATCTGGATCTTCAAAATAAAAAGCCCTTGTGAGAATCGTACCTGTGCAGGAGTTTGATCAACATCTTAGTACAGCACTTTTCAAAGCTTTTTGGTTGCTTGAATGAAAGTGGTGAGTCCTGTTCATGTGCTTCTTCTGAGTAGGTCAGTCCAGTGTATCTTTGCTAAATGCTACATGCCTACTAAATGGAAGTATCAAATGGTATAAAATAAATATGTGCATTATGTTTCTTAACCTTATAAAGCTGAGGGACAAGATTCTACAAATCCTAAATCCATTTGTTTTCTTTTGTGGTTATCCAACTGAAATTTAACCAAAATGTAGCTGGAAGCTGTGAAGGTTCACACAGCACCATGGTAGTAATGTGAAGTATTGTCAGAGGATATGAAAGAGACCAAGGAAGGTGGAGAGAAGTATATTTTATTAGACACATTTTTCAAGCTCCAAGATGGGCATTTCTGACAGCAGTTTGGTTTGTGTGTCACGCCAGTACAATCAATGGTGGATGTGTTCATGCAGAGGGTAGGAAAGCAACTTCCCTTCTCTTCCTTTTTCTCTGTGGAATACCTGAAGTAGCCAAAATGAACTGTTGTGTGGGTCAGGATTTGGCTTTTCAGGCATCATCAAATTAAGGATGCTTGGGTGTAGACTGCACTGTACCTGACACCTTCTGTGTGCTCAGTGTGCAGCTGCAATGCACAGAAAATACCCTGATCCATGTTGTGTTGAACGACAGGTCGAACTCAAGCTGAGGTGGCTTTGTTGGGAGTTTGCTTCTCTATGCAAAACCACAACAGGATTATGCCTCATCACAGGGGTATTCAAGCTACAGAAATGTGATTGTCTCCTTCTCTGGGCATATAACTCTACGAACACGTGTGTGCACTACACCAAGTGTGAAAATGAGAGATCCCTCTGAGCTTTCTGGGAGATGGTACAGTGTTCCAGCAATGTGCTGTGAACCAGGAAGGTTCAGTTCACAGCACCCACAGGGGAAATTGTGTGAAAATCTAGGAATTCTTCTGCCCTTTGTTTTTCCCTTTGAAAATTTCTTCCTGTTCGGCCTTAACACATGTTGAAGGTATCTAACCACAGGTACTCTGGCTTGGAATTATTTGCCTGCATACCATAAACGCTAAGCAGCAGATATCCATAATGCAGCACAACATATATAATACTGGACTTGTAAAAACATTCAGGGTTTTGGTTGTAAAACTATATGTAATTTTCGTTTTCCTGACTCCCCTGTTTCTGAGGTCTGCTTGCAGGGAGACAGGACTAGCACCTCATCAGTGATTCATTTCCTAATGAAATAGAAACTAGCATCAGGAAAGGAGGGAAAAAAAGGCAAGATAAATGGTTGCCTTTCTGCCAAGCATGCAGTGAAACAATGGGTTTAAATGAGATACATTCCTGACAAAGATCTCTTCTGTTCTCTAAAGGCTTTCATTGTACCTAGAGTTATATTTTATCTTTAAAAAGTGCTGTTCTTTATTTTATGTGAGCTCTCTCCCCCTCGCCCTCTTTTTGTCTTGCTGAGATTTAAGTAAGCTCTTGTAGTGCCTGTATCTCTGATCAGGCTTAAAGATTTGGAAAGCCAAGTTCGCAAGGATAAAAAAGGCCTTAGTATCTAGACACTGATAGATCTGATTCATCACCTCAGGAGGACATTACCACACAGCCTGTGCCACAGATTGTCTTGATAACAAGCCCTGGATTTTTCTTGGCATGCATCTTCATTTAAAGGTCAAAGAAAGAGGAATTTCTGGGTTATGAAAAATAATAAAAAAAAGGGGGTCACATTATCTTGACAAAGCCGTAGTCTTTACTGAGGCCAGAGGATTTACAGTAGGAACAGGGGGCTTGATTAGAGCTGAATAAAAGATGCTTTAGAGCTGTTCTGAGCTCTGCAGAGAAAACAGAGCCACAACATGACAGTCCAGCCTGGGTTGGGTTGAGTGTCCTGGAGCAGGGCTCCACTCCTGCTCCTTCCCTACTTGGGAGCAAACAAATGACAAGAGGGTTGTATCATCCCCAGCCCCTGCAAGACCCTGACCTTGTGGATGAGGAGAGAAAGACAGCCCAATTCAGTGGAGCCCAAGTTCTGCTCTGTGTTATGTAGCAAAAATGAACACCTCCAGCTTTAACTGAAATGCCTTAGTCTTATATTTCTAGTTTTCCTTTCCTTCATATCCAAGCAATAATCTACTGCCTAAGATGTACTAAACTTCATCTGCTCTCAGTCAGGATGCCTCCCTGGATAGCAGTTAAGCAGTGATGGCTACCACTTAATGGGGATGGTAATTCTCACGTAATTGGGGTGTTTTCCAGTGTCTCAGACTGGGGGGGGGGGCATTGTCTCTCTGGCTTTGTGTGACCTTTTAGAAGGGAGACACACAAAGAGTGTTTTACCTTCACCTTCTCCTGTCTGCTCACTTGACCTTTCTCTACCAGGCAAGGTCAATAAGTACTGACTGTTTTACAGACTCCAGTGGTCAGGTAATAGCGTAGAAATGCCTTGCTCTCTTCAGGAATTTGTCAGCCCCAGCTTGAGCCATGGTGGCTTTTCTTTGCCCCCACATTTTGGCATTAAATTCACTAAGAACAGCAAAACAATGCCTATCTTAGGAACTGGAACCACTGATGGCACTGTGCAGCAGAATTTAACTTTACTATCCAGCAGCATCAGTGAGAGGGACCCCAACCCCAGGAGAATGGGATTAGGAGTAGATCTACTTCTTCAGGCTGCCCTGTAATGTGCTCTCTGACACGAGCCTAATGTTTTTATCACTCTGCACTGAAATGTCATGATCTGGAAAATTATTCCACT